TTCATCGGCATTGTAATAGGTATTGATTATTTTGAATTTTTTCCCCGAACGCTGCTATAATGTGCAATTTACACTCAATTATTAATACTTTAAAATTATCAATGTAGGTTAAACTTATAGAGTGTTTCTTTTAAACATTAAATAAAATAAAATTTTCCAATTATTCACATGCCTCAAAAAAAAAATTCTGAATTTGTTACATTAATTTTTTGATCAATACCTAACATAAAAATTATTGACAGGAAAATAATTATTGTAACCTACATTAAATACATACTACATTTAGTTAGGCACCTATCTGTTTATACCTAATATACTTAAAGTTTGAATAAAAATTATAGCCTAAATATTTTTTTGAAAAAATAGTTTCAATTTCATCAAATTTGTGTAAGTATTTTCTAGGTAATTATTAAAAAATAATTCATTAAGTGTAGTTATTGATGCAATGCTTATAAATGTATTTATTATTTAGAGAATTGTATAACTTATTCATGTCCTGTTTATTTGAAAAATAGACTTACAAATGTGTCAAGTTAATTATGTTCTATTGTAATAGATAATTAGTTTGATTAAGATTGAATAAATATTTATTGGTAAACAGTCACTAAATAGATATTTACTATGCTTATGCAGACTTGCATATTAAAGAAATTGATTAATTTAATGAACCAATCATGTTTAAATGGGTTTTAAAGAGACCATTAGCTCACWATTGATTTATTAAACGTTTAGAGATTCTTTATGGTTCCCGGCATWCAAAAATTATAATAATGAATCCTTATATACCAATTTTAATTATTGATGTGCAAATAAAAAATAATATAGTAATTTTATTATCAATTTTATTTTATTCCATTACTAAAATAAACAAATCTGTTGATTTATACAAAATTAGTATAATGAATATTAATGTTCCAGTCAAATGATAAAATTGTTTTGTGATTAGCATGTTAAGACATTACAACTTAGTTGTGAACAATTTTCTTTTGAAATAGATCTTAATGCTTATTTCTTTTAAAAATTGTTATTATAAAGTCCTAAACAAATTAAGTTGTATGTGTTACATATTTAAAAAAAAAATTATATTCAAGTAGGTATTTATTTATTTTATCATTTGACTGGAAAAATCTGTTGATTTATACAAAATTAGTATAATGAATATTAATGTTCCAGTCAAATGATAAAATTGTTTTGTGATTAGCATGTTAAGACATTACAACTTAGTTGTGAACAATTTTCTTTTGAAATAGATCTTAATGCTTATTTCTTTTAAAAATTGTTATTATAAAGTCCTAAACAAATTAAGTTGTATGTGTTACATATTTAAAAAAAAAATTATATTCAAGTAGGTATTTATTTATTTTATCAAGATGGATACCAAAATATCAACTCTTGTTGAAGGTAGGTACTTTTTAAATAAGTATTAGGAACCCAATTATTTACTTTCATTTCATATGACACCTAGACAATTTCTCGATTTATTATTAATCAGATATTTTGATTTTATGAGTTACTAGCAATATTATTCAAATATGACATTGGTGAATTGAATGACCAATAAGCTTATACCTATTTATTTTTTAATAATGTTCAATAGGTCAATACTCAATAGTAATAATAAATATTTAAAATAAGGTAGGTATTTATATATAATTGCATAACT